AATTCAAATGCTCTACTCTTCCTAACAACAACAGCAGAATGTAAGATGGTATCAGGAGGATTGCATGTCTCAGGCAACACCTAAGACCAGGAGCAGGATCCTGACCCCAATGAAGCCACCACCAGGACTCTGAGGCTGGTGTGAGCAGGATTCTCCTCTGGGATTTTGTGCACAGTGAGGCAGCCTGGCTGAAGCCACGTCCCAAAACAAGAAAAGGAAAGCAAGACAGGACACTGAGTGAGGCAGAGCAAGGGTTACAGCAGCAGGAATTCCCAAGTACCTGAGTGGCTGTGCTTACCCCAGGGCTCTGTTGAGATTTATGCAATCTCATATTACACTTGCTTGGCACATGAATTTTTAGTGGGAATTTGGAAGAGGAGGGATTGCTGGCTGGTGAAGAGGAACTGGAAGGCTGTGGTGGGTAGGGTGGGTAGTGATGAATATGCCCCATAGCACAGTTCAGCACTGTCTGGGTTGTGTAGCCCAACATTTACTCCCTGGCAACCAAAAGGCAAGGGAAAAACTCTCCCACTGCACTGGACCACAGCTCCCCATGGTTTCCTAAAGCAGCAGCCTGACTCCACTGCCCTGCAGAGACACAAGTGACAGAAATTTGCAGTGCTCTGAGGTCCCTTTCTTTCCCAAATCCAGTTGACAGTGTTGTTTCAAGAGGCATTTTAACCTCCAGTGTGCTCATTTTAATGCATTAAGCTGGGTTTGATCTGAAGGACAGTCCCAGCAAGGCTTTTGCTAAAGCCAGGCACTGCTGCTCTAATGAATTGTTTTAAGCAGCAGGTATTTCTATTTATTCTGGCATCAAATAAAAACCCGCCCTGGAATATACAGAAACATTCAACATGAACCACTATGGAAAATGTTTTTAATGTGAGAATTCCTTTTCCACTCAGAGCAAACCAGCTAGTCTTTTCCCTTTCCTTGGGGATGAATTCTCTGTTGTGACACTGGCAAGGCACTGCAATCAATACAACCCAGGGAGGAAGATTTAAATGAACAGTACAGGCAAGATGACCAGAATTGTCTCCTGCTGTGGACAGGCCAGCCAGAGGTGGCAAATGGCCAAGGAAAAGATTAAATTGTGCAGTCCCTTATTCAGGTGTTTTACATGGAATAAAAAAGCCTACTTGGAGACACAGACCACAGCTCCTCTTTTGCCAAACCTGGGCATATTTTGAAATACTTTACTGCAATAAACAGCCAGGAGATGGGAATGTTTTTCTCCAAACACTGATTCACTTGTGGAAAGAGTCTGGAAAACTGTGTTTCTCAATCACCTCCACTCTGTGCTTGGTTTTCTCCAGGCAGCTATTCCTTCAGCTCAGCCTGCCCCTCTGCAGTACACACACTTACTCTGCTTTCTTTTCCCCAACATCAGGCCACAGAGGAGCACATGTGACTGCAGCAGAGGTAAAGTCATTTTTAACCAGGGCAATTTAAGGATATTTAAGACACATTCTCATTTTCCATTTCCCAATTCCACACTGCCCCCAATTTTATTATTAGCTGAATAGAGGGAAGCTTCAGCCTGGATCTGGGGTAACATGTACACTGAGGAATGAAGGCCAAGCTTTGCCTTGAAATATGCAGGATCATTCCTAACTAACCGTAAAGCTGCTTATTTGGCACTGGCAGTGGAAATATTGAACGAAAGGGGCATTCTCGATCTGCTTATGTCACAGAAAGGTTGGATTCTGACAGTGTGCAAGGCTCCAAGCTGCAGCCTGATATTAATAGCAAGACATTAAACTGGCAGTTTGGCTGGCTGGGAGCAGCTCTGCTGGAACAGAGATTGTTCTGCAGGAAACGGCAGCTCTGGGTGAGGGATGAGCCCAAAGCAGACTCAGGAATTGTGACTGGTGTGTGACAAGGCTGTGTCACACAAAGAGAACCTTCCTGCTCACACTGAGGAGTGGATCCCACAGCAGAGGCTGTTAAAACACCACAGTTCCACACAGGAATATTGTTTTCCTTCTGTCCACCTCCTCTGGAATCCACCCATTCCCAGGCCTACCTTACCCAACCAAGCAGGGCAATGAGCATTAACAAACAATTTCTCACACAAACATGGTTCTGTTCCACTGGGGTATCACCCCAAGACACACCTACACATTTTCCCCATTTTTGAGCTTGTTTCTGCCACTATGTAACCCTCCACACTACCCTGGCAGCTGGGCCAAGAAAATTTGAACCAAGTCCCCAGAGCAACTGGTTTCAGTGAGGGGCCCTGCCAGAACACAAATACAAACCTCCTGCTGCTGCTTTCTCGCTGGGTCTGCATGGCAGGCAAAGATTCCAGACAGGTTTTTCAATATGGATCTTCCAGAGCACAAATGAACACCTCTTATGAGCCATTTAAAATTCATAGTCCCACTTCCCAACAACAGCTGGGCCTCAAGGCTTACACCAGGGTAAGTTCTGCTTCCTTATTTCTCACAAAGTAAAGAAAATCAAGGCATTGTCACTGAAAGTAACATTACCTACAGCACTCTGAGTCCTCTTATTTCAGGACATATAACCCAACAGATTCCTTAGAGTCTCTTGAACATGACTAAGCAACATTAGATTCTAGAATTGTACTACATCACACCCCCAAGAACCCCACACTCTTCACAGGAGACTTTCCTCAGCCATGCAATCTCCTGTAGCTTTGCACTCAAAATCCTCATTTCACAGAGGTAGACAGAAGCATTCAGAATGCAAGTGACTTGCCCAATGTCACAAAATGAGTCTGTGCCAGAGCTGGGAATAGAAATCAGGAGTCTAAGAGTCCAGATTCTCTGCCTTATATAGAGCAGCAGTCTCCTGGTTTAGGAGCACTCACTGCATTTACAGGATGGCAGCATTGGCATTGCAAGGGCCACCCTCAGCCATAAGCAGGTGTAAAAACACACATGAATCTGCTAAGATGTTCTTCTTCTGTTCAGTGTAAAGCAAGAAATGAAAGCAAGCAGCTGTTGTAGAGGACTTTGGGGAGTGCAGCAACCTCAGCATAACCACTAAGACCAAACCAGATGTCACTCCTGGACTCATTTCTTGCTCCCACAGGCAGCCCTGCTGATTTGGGAGGGGTATCTGGGAGCTGGAGTGAGAAACAGGAATCTGGCTACAGCAGAGATGGCTGAAACACCAAGATAAACCTTCCTAAGCCAGCATGGAGGATCAATGGGCATCCACCAGTCTCAATTGTTGCAGTCATATTAAGCCCAAGCCAAAGCCATGTTACACTGCTGTTCATATCACCCAGGTGTGTGCACATGGCATGGAAGCCTGGCCATTAAAAACCTATTTATCTACAACTCACACCTGCTTTTCCCAATCCTGACAAAGGAGGACAACCAGAGAATCTCTGGCATGGTTAAAATTCAGTACTCCCAACACTACCGCTTTCTCAAACCAGCTGTGTGTCACAAAAGAACATTAATTAATTTATTCTTCCTCTGCCATGAAAAAATGCAAATGCCACAACAAGGCCAAATGGGGCACAGAAAATGCATAAGTGAAGATATAAGTGCTTTGCTGCCACATAAACTGTCAGAGGAGAAGGTAGGAAAAGCAGGACTGAAGAGAGCAAAGAGGCCAGACTGGTTTTGTCCCAGGAATATTCACTCTCTAAATATCTTGGAAAACTGTTCTGGAAAGAGTAACAAGTGAATTTAATCTTCATTGCTGTGATCTACTACTTTCTCCACTGCAGCCACAGTCTGCAGCAAGTTGCAGCACAAGAAATAACTTGGGTATTCTAAGAACAGAAAAGAAGTCATAAAAATATTTCCTTAGTCATGCTGTCTCTGGTAATATAATTCCCTGAACAGAGATCTTCAACAATACTCTCTTTAAATATGGAAAGAGCTCTGACTTTAGTCAGCATGTGTCTTCCATCAGCTTCTCTCTCTTTTTTTTTTTTTAACTTCTTTATTGTATCTTACCACAGCCACCTCCAGGTGCAGGCACACGGTGTAAAAACCTTCCTCAGTGGAAGTGTGTTTTCCATTGGACACAGAATAAACACATTGTGAGGGATTCCAAATGGAAAAAGCTTGGACACAGAGGCCAGTCCTTGCTTGTGGGTATGTATCCTCCAGCTCTGTATCTCCTCCTTTCACCTGATCCCCCCCCCAGGGAGGGAAGGAGCTGCATTCCAAGATGAGCCTTCCACAGGGCTCCTGCTGAGGGCACTTCCCTCCCTGCTCTGCATCACCCACTGCCCACAATCCCTGCAAGTGTCTCCCTGAACACCGGGGTGTAAGAACTGCTGAAAATTAGGATCCATCCCAAGTTTACTCAGAATGGAGGATGAGGGGCCACCTGACTTTGAGGCAAGTTCAAAAAAATTCATGCTATCATCGCAGAGAGGATGTTGAGCTGTGCCGCCAAACACTGCTGCCACTGTGAGGATTAAAAAAAACAAACCAGGAGAACACTGTGAAGGTTACTGCTACCTGAGTGAAATAAATAAACCAAGTATTTAATGTGTGGGATGTAAGGACCCTGTGTATGCAGGCTTTGGACATAACTAAAGGCAGTTAGGAAGTAGGAGGAGCAGGAGGCTGAAAAGAAGTTTTAACTTGGCTTTCCCACAATGAGGTATTCTTCTCCAGTGTCTGAGTGCCAGCTTGATCTGGGAATGTCACACAGGTTCTTACAATGAGAAATGCAGTCCTTAGCTAGCAAATTCTTGTTTGAGGTGAGAGAATTGAAAGGAACATTATACAGACACACCAAGAGGCAGCTTCTTCTGTATCCACTCCAAAGAAGCAGAAATACTCAAGAATAACTCCTGAACACAGAGACCTCCAGGGCTTAGGAGGGGTTAAAATTTAATGGCTTATTTATAGCTCATACTAATCCATATCTGCATCACAGAGGTACACAGAACAGCAAAACCAACATGACAGCAAACCAAGGAGTGAAATATTGCACAGAACACCCCTCTTAGCACAGAGGTGCCTATCAAAATCCCCTCCCCTGCCTCTTGCACTTACCCACAGTGTCACAAGGCTCGTCTTTGTGCACGCAGAAATCTGTCCTAGAAAGGAAAACAGAACAGAAGTGAAATGTATCCTGTGCCTCCAGAGCAGTGAGAAGCAGTGGTGCATGACTCACATATCATGGGTGTTGAGGTCTGGGATTTTGTAAGGCTGCTGTGCAGTGTACATGATGACAACATAGAAAGCAGCCCTGATTGCTACTGAGATTACAGAGAATTATGTAGATGATGGGGAGAATCAGCCCCATCATCAGACCTAAGATCAGCACCTAAACCAGCCCTGCCTCAGTCTGTGATGTCACATTTATTCCATAAATTAAAACTAAAGCTCCTTCCACAAGAGAATTGTAACAATAAGGAGCAGACACCCTGTGATGCACCCTGAAAGACAGTGGGAGTAGGAGATGTGTGAAGGCACAGAACTAATAATATGTACCCAGAAATTCTCAATTCTTCACTAGAATAGAAAAGAACATGAAAAAAGCAGGACTAAACAGAGAAAGACAGATGTTGACACAGAAGAAGAAGGAGAATTTCAGGATTTTCCTGGTAATGGGTAAATTGGCTTCAGCTAAACTTATTACGCTCAGATTTGCCACGTTATGGTTCAAATCCAACACGGAGAGGTTCAAGAGACTCCATTTGTTCCCCACATCTCATTAAGGCAGGAGAAGATACTACAGATGCCAGTGGCACCCATGAATCAGCCAGGGATCCATGGAGCTGTATTAAACAGAATAAAAGCCTTGAAGCTCACCACCAAAGCACTGACACTTCATGTGAGATTTGGTACATGAGGTTCCTCATGACAGAAAAACAAGCGTGTGTGTGGGGAAAAGTATTTTATAACTAAATTAATATCTTGAATGCATTTCAAGAAGCACTTAGGCCTAAACTTTTAGGAGCTCTCTTCACCAGGGTTGCTTTGCAGTGCAATCCACAAAGAAGAGGAGTTGCAGAGAAACATCACGTGTGCTAAAACATTTCAGAAGTTCTTTAAGCCAAGGGAAGCTGAGGAACTGTAGTCTCCATCACCTTGGCTTTTCTCACCCTGGGAGGAGGCAAGAGAATCCCATTGGTACATTTGGAGTGTGCCATTTGAAATGCCTGAATCCCCTTGGGGTTTAGAGTGTAAGTTTGGCCGGAGGAAGATCAAAAATACTTTGAGAAAGATAAATACTTAGAAAAAGAAAATACTTAGAAGAAATATAAAAATAGATAAATATTAAAAGTGCTCTTTCCTTGAAGAAAGTTATGAAACTAGGGTTTATAGGAAAAGAGATTTAAGGCCCAGGACTGTGGCTGATGAATCCAGACCCTCCACACCAAACTCCTTTGAAAGCCACAAATCAAGCTGTCAAGGGCTTGGAAGGAGAGCACAAAGAGCCATTCCCAGCTCTTGTTCAGCACACATTGAAAACCAACCACGCTTCAGTGCAGAAAAACCATAACAACCATCAAAGTGTTAAAAAAATCAGACAGAAACCAACCAAAAATCGGAAGCTACGACCACACACCAGTCCCAGCTTTCATTTTTCACTGCAGCCTGTGTCTCAACACCTTGGCATTGCAGCCTTCCCAAGGAAGACTAATGACAGTCTCCTGACGGAGCTGGCACCAGCGCGCCTGCTCGGCTTCCCAGAGCCAGCTTGACAGAGGTTTATTTAAGGACTTATTATGTTATATAAACTGCTAAATCAAACAGATGCTTTTCTTGTGACAACAGATAGCTGAACTATTAGTGGATGGCAGGAGGCCACAGCTAGGAAAGCCTTTCTCTCCCTGCAGAGCCTGTCCAGCCCTGCAAATAACGCACAGAATTTCTGCTGCTCGCGCTGTCCCACACCAAAAGGTGTCTGGCACTTTCTGGCAGCTCCACAGAGGAATTACCACCATGCCAGCAAATAAGGGGTCAGTAAATGATCCAGCACACCTTGCAGACTCTCCTACAGAGGTAGAACAACCATTGTGTGTGAAGAGAGTGCTGTGGTGTTGTTTGGTCAGGGAAAGGCTTGAAGCACATCAGCAGCAGAATTGGACATCGCTGGCAAATCAAGTAAAAAACCTGCTCAGCCCATCCTTAAAACTGTGATAAACACAAGACCAAGAGACTCCATCTTCTGTTCAAATACATGTACAAAAATGCTAGGATTTAAACCATCTGGACCATCGCAAATATTTTATCCCAAAACTCTGTGGCCAAACAGAAAAGCACATCCAGACCTTCAGTCACAAACCAGCTTGGTGGTTCTCAGTTCTGCTTCCAAAGGCAAGGGCACACCTCATCACAAAGCCCATGCTGAAACTCCTACAGTCCTTCCCTGGCAGCCAGAGGGAGAACACTGCATGGAAAGGTGATGAGAATGATCTGTCTCACCTGTGGCTCAGTGACACCTGTGATTTAAATGGCTCCACTGGCACCGGACACTGATCTGCTTTTAAAAAGGTTTCAGTCACAGGTGTCTCTCTGGCACATTTTTGAGCTCAACTGCATGAGTAATTTTGAAGTGACAGCTTGACATGACTGATACTATAATGACACTCAACAATGTAGGAAAGGTATTTTAATATTTATTGCATGTGCAAAGGTCTCTTACCACAGAGACACAGTCCTGTTAGCAGAATTTTTTACAGAGCTGTGTTGAAATAAAACTCTTACTGCAGGAGCTGCAGCTCAAGTCCAGCATCTGACCTTATCACACGAGGTCTTGGATAATCAACATTGAAATCACAGCTCTATCTGTGAACCAGTTTTACTCTTTACTTTTAGCCATTGACTGAATCAAGCAGGACACAAGTTTTGATCCTGTGACCTATGAAATTCTCAGTCATTATCATGGGTGGTACCCAGCAGAGGTCTCCACTAGCAGAGTACAACAATTCTCAAAAAATGACAACAATTTAGTTGTTTTGTTCAATAAAAACAGCCAAAAAAGCTCAAAACTCCTCCTACAGTCACTCTTCCATCTGGCTCCCACCAACTGGAAAAAAATACCTAACTGTGCTAAGCTGAACTCTGCAATTCAAGTGCTTCCTGTGAGAAAGAAGGACAGAAGTTGAACTGTGCAACAGGAATAAGAAGCATTCTGTTAAGTGGCCATTCCCAGCATCCTTCAAAGGACATCTTTCGATCAGTCTAACCCTGCAGGGTCATAAAGCTAAAGGACACAGGAAACTGGTACAGTGCAGAACCTGCCAAAATAAACTTTCCACATCCATAGGTACATTCAGCAGCACTATGTGCCCAGTTTCCTCCATGCACAGTGAATTCCTCCATTTGCCCATTTAATGGGAAGGCAAAGAGCTGGAGAAGTGTGGAAGGGAGGACCAGGCTGTAAATGGAACAACTACACCACTGTGTCAGGAAAAAACAAGTCTTTGCTTAAAGACAGCTCTGAATTCTGTTCCTGTCAGTGCTGGGACACTCTTTGCTCTGCTATCACATCACCTACAGTCTAATAGCTGACCCAAACACCTCCAGCCAGGAGCTGGGACAACATCAGTGTGCCTGAAGATTTCCCAGGAATGCAAAAGACAGAGGGATCAAGAGAGAGAATGTGTTTCAAATGAGACATGCTTCTAAAATCACTAAGACACAGATTCGGCAGATAGAAGTTATTCTTGTCAGCTGCCTGGTAAAATATGAAGTACACTATCCAAAGATGCCAGAGACTTGAATTTCTGCAAGTTCAAAACCAGAATCTGAATGAGGAAAGTCTGATGGTTATAGAGACACAACACTATATTCAGACATTCAGGGCTGTGGCAGATTATTCCCACTGTCTCACTTATTTACTGAGCTGGACAATGCATCTTATTCCACAGGCACAGTGTGTCCCTTACCTGGAACTCAGGTGGATACCTTAAATCCCACAAGAGGAATATTTGCCACCTACATAATCTACTTTTGCATACAAACGAGGGTATGGGAAACATCACTTAGAGGTGAAGTTTCAAAAGGCAAGAGTGCCTTGGTGTTTCAAATGAACCCAGCCAGACTGGAACCACAGGGATTTCTTCAGAACTTGACCCCAAAGAATCTGTTTCTAGTCCTCAAAGCAGCTGCAGCTGCTGAAAATTCAGCTTCTGCTTTTCCTGGCGCAATTGCTCGTGCTGGACATGCTGCTGCTCCCACTCCTCTGCCACTGGTCCATCTGTACAGTCTGGGGAGGGTCCAGGGACACACACACACACATTTCCAAAGGCAAGAGGAGAAAAATTCATTTCCCTGACACAGGCATGGGGCTGCTGGCCCACAAGTCCTCCAAGCAATGCAGCATGCTCCATGCACAGAAGCAGGATGGGTTAAGGATGACAGGACAAGCAAGAAGGGAGGAAAGACTCCAAGTGCACACTGATGATCTCTCCAGCAGCCAAAATGCTGCTGCTGTGCACAGCCATGTGCTGCTCCCTGGCCTGAGCCTTCTCACCACAGCTGAATCTGGTTTCTAACCCAACCAAACCTGAACTTTCCCAGCTATTCCCACTGCAAAACCCTGCAAATCCACTGAACAATTCCTCCTACCAATTCTTTTACAGTTCTTCCTCAGAAGCCTGAGTCCAGCTCATTTAGCCTGACATTAAGCATTCAGTTTTGAGAGCAGCAGAGATGAAATGCTCTGCTCATTCCCCCCACCCTGTGCTCAGAGCCCATCAGAAGAGATTCCCTCTGCCTCACTTGTCATGCAGGACAACTGGATACCCAGATGAGGTTAACAAAAATGTTAGTTATTTATTTAGGCCCTGATCCAGTGGAGCACATGCTTAACTACAACCAGGATGTGCAGCCAGTTGACTTCAAAGGAACTATTCCCCCTGTCTAAACTGTTAAATATCTGCACAAGTGCCTGGTGCACTGCAGTGAATACAGAGGAGGGAGCAGGGTCTGGGGGAGCTGCACACACGTCTGGGGATGAGATTGCTCAGGAACTTGGCTGGCCTCTGGCCTCATGCCCTGCTCACCAGCTCTTGCACTGAACACTCACCAGAATCCCATGGACAGTTTGCAGTGGGGCTGTTAACACAAATCTAACACTGGAGATTATTGCAATCAGGATGGCAGTTTATACAAAAACATGTATTTCTACTTAAATTGTTGGCAGAGAAAAGAAGTGAAAGAGGTGAGTAATATTGAACTGCAATACAGATATTTCCTGTCTCAAACTGGGGGACAAGGGGGTAGGAAGTAGTGTTTTTCTAGCACCATTACACCATAATTTTGTGCTCACTTTCATTATTCAGAGATCACTTCTGTAAAAATTAATATTTTTACATCTTAAAGGATGCAAAAAACTTAAAACACCATGAATGTGCTGTTCAGAATTTGTAGTAACTGTGAGGAACATGGGACATGCATTGTATTGTGAAGTTGAGCTCAGATAGTTAGAGGAAAAAAGATTGCTGTCCCTAAACACCCTTTTTCTTGCTTTATCTGATGTGTTTGACAGATCAGTAAGTTCAGAATTACAAAGTGCAAAGAATTTTGATCAAATATTTCTGTAAAGATCATTTCACATCTGAAATAAATGGATGAGTTTTCAAATACACAAACCAATCAGGAATGACACCCCTTCTCTATTTCAGTTGTGATAGAGGAGAGTTGTTAAAGTGGTTATTTCCTTGGGCAAAAAGAGAGAAAACTGATTTCCCTCTTTCTTTAGGAGATAACTCCCTGCCCACTGCTGCCACACTCTCTGCTCAGCTGATTCACCCCTAACTGCACACAGAGCCCCTGAGCTCAGCTGTGTTCAGTTCCACACCTTCCTTCTCCTAGGAAGGAGGGCTCCAAAACCTCCCCTGTTTTTTCCACCCCTACCAGCTGGGGTGAGGAAAAAGCCTCCCTGTGCTACAGCCACGTGCTGACCCTGACTGTGACACCTTGGCTCAAGGGGAGAGACGCTTTGGTACAACCTTGTTAAGAATGCACAAAAACAACACAGAGCACTTTCACCTGAGCCACCTGAGCAGCAAATGTAACATCATCTTCTTAGATTTCTGCCTGACAGCTAACCCCATCACTGACCATGGGCATTACTGGCTGTGACAAACTGATAAACCAGACCTTCCCATACCTGGTCACAAAAACAGCAGCATCCACAGGAGGGGTGTCATCCCTGGCACCAGGAACCTGGTTGTTACCAAGGTATTTTGCCCCACCATATTCTTCATTTTGCCACTGACAGAAGCTCTCCAGAGATCTCTCTCCATGATGCCCGATGGACAACTTTGTCTTTGGGGAAAAAAAAATAAAAATATATATATATATATAAGGAGAAATTATTATCCCCAGTCTTTAGATAAAGCATCAGACCTCTCTGTAACACCTAACTTCATACTGGTTTGCAGCTACAAGCAGACAGCTTTACCAGGAAGGATAAATAAAAGGATTCTGGCTCCTTTCACTCCCACAGCCCCTGTACTTCCCACCTTTAACGCTGCCTGGTAAAGTGGAACAGGCAACTCCTCAGAGATTGTGATGCTGAGGCCCCACATCCCCCTCCCAGCCTGTGGGACAGCACAGAGCAGTTCCAGGAGCAGGGCAGAAAGGGGCTGGGACTCACAGGGCGACTGTGGAGCAGGACTAGCTTGGTCACTCGAATGTTCACTTTAATTCCCAGGCTTTGATGCTGGAACATGTTGTACACCTGTCAAAAAGCAAAGAAAACATCCAAAGCTTGTTAGTAGAAATATCAAGACCTAGTACTAGTAGAAGAAACTAATTGTGACTAAAGTTAGACATTTCTCCTTATAAAAATTTACACAAAAGCTCCCCCCACATGGATTGTGCTACTACACTCAATAAAATTAAGAATATTTAAGAGTTGCTGTGAAAAGGAGAAAAATATTCCAAAGGAGTTCTAAAGATAAAGTCTTATGAACATGGACATACGTTATGAAGCATTCAACTACCATGGATCTTCAGCATTTAAATATCAGAGATATCTGAATGCAAGATGAAATAATGGTGTGTTTTAGACTTCAGGAAATAGAATGGAAAAGCAATTTCCCTCTGTTATTTTCATATCTTATATAAGAGAATAGTAATAAGGCAGCACATAATGACACAAGCCTCAGGAAATACAAAAATAGCACCGGAAACTACCTTACTACTTTCTCCAGATTTTGCATTCCAGCTCAGATACTTCACCTCATTTTTATAGGTTAGAACATAAGATTTTAATTGATCCCAGGATTCTATTCCACCCGTTTCTCAGTGTACAAATGTTTTAACTAGACAGTATCAAAAAAGGTGAGGGCAGGGTTTATTTCAAAAGGTGTAAAAGGCCACATAAAAGGCCTTGGGTGAATATTGCATCCCCTACTTGGTCAAAAAAACCAAAATCAAGACCAGTGAAGTGAGACTCCTGACAAATGAGAGGCAGGTCTGGCCCCAGGTAAGCAATATTCCTTGCTCACTGCTCCTTTGGCTACAAGCATCACCCAGGCTTAGAAACTTCCTACAGCAAACCCGAGACACGAGCACATCTTGCACATCATGCTTTCAACGCTTGGTATTTTTCCTATTTGTGCAAATGCTCAGGAATGCGCTCAGTGGAAGAAGCTCTCCAGTGTTTGGGGTTGGATTTAAGCACACACATAAATGTTTCCTACACTTTAGGCACAGATTGCAAGACAGAGCTACTCAGTGTTTGACCCAGTGACCTTCAGCTGAGCACAAGGAGCCATTTCTCCACCCTGGGGCTGGTGTACAAGTGCACACAAGGGCTGGCACTATGTGCTCAGCCTGGGGATGTGCTGGGAGAGCACTTCAGGCCTCTCTCGACAGACCTGGCAGGGATAAACTTGACATTTGCACAGAAGGGCTCTGACAGATGACCCCTGTGTAAGTGGAGGCCTGCTGCACCACTACAGAGGCTGACAAACACTCCCTGGGATGGATGGATGGATGGATGGATGGATGGATGATGGAGGGATGGAGGGATGGATGGATGGATGGATGGATGATGGAGGGATGGAGGGATGGAGGGATGGATGGATCTTTGGTTTCCCAGCTCCCCACTAGCTCTGGCCATCCCATGAGTTCTCACTCATGACATGAGAATAATCCCAGCAAACAGGTCCTTATCCCTGAGCCTGCTGGGTGCTGGGGCTTGGCTTCCCATCAGAGCAGCCAAGCTGCCTCCAGAGCCAGCAAGGACAAATCCAAACACCACTGATTCCAAAGGCTGTTTGCCCTGGCAAAACTTGCCCACCAAGCACGAGCTGCTAGACAGTTCAGGATGGCATCTTGAAAGCTGCCAGCCCTTCCTCCTTTTCTCTTGTGCTCTCTATCCCAAAGATAACTCTGACTGCACTTTTATTCCCATCCACCAGTGATATCAGCAGCAATTGGACACTAAACCAAAAAAAAAAGTCCCTGGGAGTGCAAGAGGCTCCACTTTGCTTGTTTATTCAAGCTTTGTTTGCTTATTTTCTTAAATGAAGGCCAAAGGAGCCCCAGGCTGATGGTATTGCCTTGAAGGAACATTAACCTTTCCCTCTGAGAGGGAGATCACTTAACAGTAACAGGCAATGCACACGTCACTTGGAGAAAATTTAATCTGCCAATTAAAATAATTTGTATACAGAGAAAAAAAAAAGATAAATTAAAACAACACCTTCCCCTCACCTCATCTTTACTCCTGCATTCCTGACTCCTTCCCCCTCACCCAGAGCCAGGCAGGTGGATGGGGAATGGGAACTGTCCTCTGGAACAGCTCTCTCTGCTGCTCCCTCCTCACACTTTTGCCCTGCTGCAGGATGGATCCTCTCCATGGGCTGCAGTTCCCATCAGGAGATCCTGCTCCAGCACAGGCTCCTCTCCTCAGGTCACAGTGCTGGGCACAGCCACCTGCCCCACCATGGTCTCCCCTCAGGCTGGAGGGCACCTCTGCTCCAGCACCTGGAGCTCCTCATCCTCCTGCTCTCACCTGGGTTTTTCCCCCACTTTTTTCCACCATTCAGCTTTTTCCTCCTCTTTTGAAGACATTTTCAGAGGCCTCCCCAGCTCTCCTGCCAGGCTGTGCTGTGCCCTGTGGGGAGGGCTGGGAGCATCCATGTCCAGCACGGGGCAGCTCTAGGTCTCAGCCCCATCCAGCACTGTCCTTTCAGAGGGAAACTTCTCTCAGATCATGGGCTTTAGGGCTAGAAGGAACCCCATGGAGAAGGCAAAGAGACTTTTAAATGACTTGATAAAAGAATATGAGCCTGACACAGCTCAGGTTGTTCCCAGCTGGATTTAAAGCAGGCTGTGCCAGGTAGGTTGTGCCCAGAGGAAGCATCATCACAGGATCCAGCTGAATTTAAAATAAATAATTCAAATACATAGGTCTTTCCTGCTAAGAATGGAATTCCATCATGGCAGCAAGAACCTTCTGCCTTTCTCACCCAGCCAACAAGAAAACCAAACCCAGAGACTCAGTGTGTCTGAGCTGTTCCACACCACATCCAAGTGTCCACCTGCAGCACGTGCCAGGTTGGGTGGTGGGATAACTGGTACCAGGCCATGAGGAATGGGATTTCCCACTGCAGATGTTCTCAAGATTTCCTGCTGCACAGACAGAGAGACTGACTCACAGACACCTCCCTGCCCACTCCCAACACCATGGGCCACCCTTCCTCAAGCCTGCAATTGCATCACACCCTTCAGGCTGCTGTGACTGCTTCCAACAGGGGAAAAGTAAAAATATTTGGGTGGTTTAGGACCTTTTAATAAAATAAGGCAGCTGGGAAGAGAAGTGTCAGCTGCATGAAACTCTGCCATGGATGCAAAGGTTACTTGTTTAGGACATCACCACAAGTGGCAGAAAGCAGCTTGGATGGAAAAGAAATGGAGGCTCTGGATCACTGGGATGAAAGGAAGGGATGGGAAAAGTGGTCAATGTGACTGAAGTGTTGTGGGTGCCCTGCTGCAGGGGAGCTTCTTCACTTCTGTACTGACTTCTCTGTGAGGAGCCATCAGAAGTAGGGTGAGCTCTGGAAACAGGAGATATGGTAAAGAACCACACAAAACAGACAGAAAAAATGGCAGGGGAAGTGCAGTAGAACAAGAAGAGAATAAAGCCTGTCTCTGGCATCTCCCCCCTCACCTGCATTTCTCTGACAGAGCTTTACTGTACAGAATGCCCTAAAGAAAACAGGAAAGCTTCAAGGCTGGACCATCCTCCTCTGTTTGCATTCCTCCTGCCTTTCCTTCTCCTCTCAGCTCTGACATGGAAGGGGCAGAACAAATGCAGTTCTGGCATAAGCTGTGCAGGCCTGCCCCAGCACGCACAAAGCAAACACAGACAACATAAGGAATTGGGCTCAGAGAGGAACTAAACTACATCATTTTAATTTTTTTTTTAATTCTCAAGAGCTTCCTCTGCAGGTGGACGGTGGGAGGGAGACGTGTGTGTTTCAGATGTTTTGGAGTTTAGAACAGCAACCCTGAGGGTAAATTGACTTTTTTTCCCTTTTTTCTTCCCTGAGCACTGCACTCAAGCAGGAGCCTTCCCATTGCCTTGGCTGCTGGTTGAGGTTTGGACAGCAGAAGCCTTAGTCAGGTTACTGAGGTTGTCTTTCTCTTGTTTTGAAAAGTGCTATAGGATTTCTAACACCCACGTAAAGCCAAGCTTTCAAATTACTCCTTTAAACATTATGAAAAAGAACATATTCATAGCTCTTTATAAGATACAGTTGACATAACTCCTTCTCCTGGGGCTGCTGGAGCAAAAAGAGAAATCTGTAGACAGTGATGAAACACTCAGATCCTTTTCCCTTATGTTCCCTTATGTCCCTGCTCTCATCATGAAAATTCCAGACCAAGGTAAGGGAGCTGATTATCAGTGGCAGCTCTGAAGCCTTTATGTGCCAGCCCCCAAGAGCACAGACATATAAATCCATCAATGCAAGCATGATAAAAATTATTTTATCTGCTTTTTTAACATAAAAAAACCCTCACAGGGGAAATCCAAAATGAAAAACAATCTGTGGAGCGTAAAATCAGGCTTCAGAGAGTAAAACAGTATCATTCCTAAAGAACAACATAAGAATTTTCCCTCTTAATGACATCCAAAAGATCACTAACTTCAAGTTCCTGCTTGCTGCTGCAAAGAGCTTCCACAGTAATCTCATGGCTTAGCAACAGCTGCAGGAGAACTGACACACACTGCAGAAACTCTCCCTCCACACTGCACTCTTAGGGAAAAAGGCAAGCTCCAAACCAAGCCACAATTGTAATTTATTGCAAAACCCAAAAAAATACACTTAGGGGACAAAAAAAACCAAACCCAAACCAACCCATTTTTTTTTTAGGTTTTCAAACCCATAGAAAGCAGCTGTTAAACGACTGTGTTGTGGTCTTGGAAATTCAGAAATTCAGACGTCTCTGTCTCCAAATGCTCTGAGGGTCAGTCTGGGTGGGACTGGGTTTGCAAAGTCAGCTCTGCACTCTGCAAGGAGCCAACATCCACAACTCCCTGCTCAGGGCCTGCCTGGAAACAGCCACTCCTCATCCTCAGCCACACAACAGCCAGGGACAGGACTTTCCAAAGGCTCTCATCCCCATTTATCACTACTTGAACCAGTTATCTCCAGAACCAGAAAGCTGAAAACCTAAACCATGAAAACCAGACACAGCAGAGACCAGTGCAGTTCCTAGACTCTCCTTTTTCGTTTACTGGTCACTTCTTTCAGATGAAAAGCAACCACAAGAGCAAATAAAAGCACAGAACTCCTGCAAGAACAGAACATCCACCCTCACAGCTCCATATGGATGAAATGCACTGAGAAATTAGCTGCCAGATGCAGACCAGCAGAATGGGTGAGCAAAATAAGCATGTTTTAAAGCTGGATTTACCACAAAGGCACTTGGGAATGGAATTCAGAGGAAGTTCTGAACAATGGTCACTACAGAAGGAGGACATGAACAGGAGATGCTCTCAAGCCAAAGGTGAGACAAGAACTGGAATGCAAACACTGCAACAAAGCTCAGTAACAAGGGAGTTTAACCTAGAAAAAGAGATCAGCGCCTATATCTAAGTAGGTGGTTTTGCATCCCCACAGCTCTCCTGGTATTTCTCTCCCTGTCCATGTTCTTCCTTTCCTCACTGCCTGGCTAAGGCTGCAGCTGTGCATGGTGGCATTTGACAACAACTTCAGCACCTGTTTGGAAAATAGTGCTGAATCAAACACCTTGCCAGAAAACAAGAAAAGATTTCTTTTTAGCAGTGGTGACTTGAAAAAAGCCAACTCAAATCCCTGGAGCCCTACTTGTTCCTACTCATACATTACAGAGCACCTTAGAGGGAAATTCTTCCATGATCTTAGAAAAACCTGTCTTATAATTTCAAGCATTAGTTTAGTAAATGGAAGAGCCTGCTCCTCTACAGCGACATTCACAAAAAACAAGTACTTTGAATGTGAATCCACTCTCTGTTCACAGGCATGGAACTACAGAATAACATTAAAAACAGCATTTGCTACATGAAGTGCTACCTGTTATTTCTAGGTTCCAAAATAGGTTTGCTGTGCTTTTAAGCTGTTATTCTAGAAGAGGGTGGTGGGGGTTTTTCCTCAAAGATTCTCATTTACCAAGGGAGCAATAAACCCATATTTTGTAATGCTGACTTTTTCCCCCTTCAGAAATTCTTGTAACATAAATAGATATTAAATACTTTAAGGCAGATCACTTTATTTAAAATGTCTATAAATATAAAATGCATTAATAAGACCTCTTAATGCTTGTTTTGTGGTTTGACAGTAAACGTAATGGCTTACAGAGAGGAGTTAAGTTAATATACCCCTGACCAGTAATGTTCTATTTGCTTAAATGCAAGCACCCAAGCCAAAATTAACATTCTGGTTTCTTTTAGAGGCAGCCTGCCATCCTGCAGTATAGCTGAATAAGCACTGCCTAATATCATGGGGCAAATCCTGTCCCCCAGCTAACAGACACCCAAGGCTGACAGAAACAAAGATCCCAAAGAGCCAAGAGCTTGGCTTAAGGCCTCCCCAAACCTCATGATTATCTCTCTGAAATACATTTTTCTGAATTATCCTTCAGCTTCTTTTCCTGGGATGAAGGTCAGCTTTCATTACACAAATGTAACATCAAAATCTTCCTTTGATTCCCTGACTTCCACCTGGTTTCATCACCACAGAATAAAGGATTTATGCAGTGATGCCATCCATGTGTTTGCCTATCCTTATTCCTCTCTATCTTTTGGTCTTGCAGTGACTCTCAAGCCTTCCTTCAAACCTGAAAAATGTTCCTCAGAGCGTGGGAATGTAGGTGGCAGAGGGAGAGACCCTCCCATTGCCCTGCGAAGGCTGAAGAGCTGAAACATGAATTCAAATCCTATCAGACATCAGAAAAACCTCACAGCAGTGAACCCCCTGGAGCAATGACTTAACAGTGGGAAGCATTTCAGCTGGACCTTGCACCTGAGGAGATGTCACATGAACGTGTTCCTCATCCAAGAGTCCTCTCCATGTGCTCTCTCTGGTGTCCAATAAAGGGGTGAGCTCACCCTACAGCATCAGAACCCAGCTTAAAAGCCCATCAGCCTAATCCATAGGAAACTAACCTTCAAGATTTGTTTAATAAATGGGTTTAGAGAAGCCAGCCCATCTCTGAGCACCTCCCCACACAGATTTATTCACACCTGGCAAGCTGATGTTGCTGAGATGTTCTGCAGCACCTCAGCCTGGACAGACATCATTCAAAGACCTACAGCCACCTTTTGTTTAGGACTTGGCCCATCAGTCTGTTCATCCCTAACAATCTTCACAGGCTGAAAAAGCTGCACAACACAGACATCCCCAATGGCCACAGTGAAATCATTGACCTGCTGGCATGAGGGTCATCAAAAGTTACTGCAGAGCCACAGTGGAGCCCCATCAAGGGACAACTCTGAGAGTACACTGGGAGGCCAAACAAAAGGGAGAGGAAGGGACATAGAAAAGCAGCTCATTAATGGAAAAGACTAATCAAACTCCCTACTCAGTCAGCCTCCAGGAGGGCTCCCTCACACCACTGCTTGATGAAGGAACACAAGACCTCTTAAAAAGCTGTTGTTCCATAGCTGGTTTATGCTGAGCATCCATCTCTTCAGTGGAAGCATGACCAGGCAATTACTGCTCAGGACTGTTATTTTTTCCCAAGCCAATTTGCTGCTCATAAACACCAGCAGAGGCACAGTGAGGAGAATGAGCTGTTCCTGGATATTACAATAGCATGGGCAAAGGAACATGAGCTTCCTCCAAGACTTTCTTGTGCAAATGCCTCTGCAAGGACCCCTGCAGCCTCTGAGCAGAGTTTTCCATGTCTACATCCAATTTAGCCATTACCTCCTTAGTGGCACTGCCAACAGCTGAGTGAGCATTCCCTGTGGGAGGCTTTGTGTTCCCTTATCAGCTGAGCCAGAAGGCCCCACTACAGGGACAGCTCACAAATTAACACCCACACTTCCCAAGAGCCTGCAATTTCCAAAGATTCCCCTCACTCCAAAATATATCCCTAGGATTTCTAGAATGATTTTCAAGCCCAATTCCATCAACAACTCATAGGTATGATCAACACCACTTCATGCAACCCTGGGTGAAAAGAATGGGATCAGCCAGCAGTTTGGTCACAAGTTTTCTACATTCATATTTTCTACAAGGGAAGCAGCCATTTTCATTATGTAAAAATTAGAGATAAAAATCATTCTGGACTTAAAGCCAGGTCTTCTGCTGGAAATCAATATGACTGCTGGCTTTAACTACCTAGAACAATGAGCCATATCTCTTCTGAGACAGGTGTGGCACAGGAATCTTTAGGAACCCAAGAAACATGTCAGACAAGACACTGCTCCAAGGTAAATCACAGCAGCACCAAAAGCCTGGTGGAAAACACCACTCCTGAACCACTATTTCCTATGTGAAAACTTACATTTTCAGTTTTGAAAAATGGGTTTTTATTGTGGCAAATACCAGGAATAACACAAGTGGAGAAGAGGCACATAACACAAGAAAACCAAAACCTTTTCTCATACCCAAAGGTCAAACCAGTCCTTGATTTCTGCTGCCAAGTCAGCTTTATTCTACCCTGGATATGTCCTGCTTACTCTTGTTTCTTCTTTGGAAAGTAAAATGCCTACTTACCATATTCATAACAGTGAGGATGAACCTTTGGGCAGCCTCAGCTCCGTGGTACTGCACCATGTCAGCATCTGCCACCACCAGCGTCTCCACCGTGTACTCGCTGGTGAGGCGGATTGCGTTCCTCCGCTCCCGCCAGTCGCTCGTGGCCTTCACCTTCTTCTGCCTCTTCTTTTCTGAAAGGTCAAAGTGCCTTTTAAGGCTGGCAGATCATAACAAAACACTCCCAGCCTTTTCACCAAACACCCTGGTGTGTATTCAGGTTGTATCAACTTTTAAATTGAAGTGTTCTTGGCTGGTTAAAGAAGAGGTTGCATTGCAGGTACACCTGTGCCCCTGGGTGCAGAGAGCAGCAGATGATGTGAAAAGAGGGAAGAGAATGGGAAAAAACATAAGTTCAGGAAAAAGAAAAAATTAACTAATTCAAATAAAAATGTTACAGAAAAGTTAAACTTTCCTTCCTACCAACTAAAGGACTGATGTATTAATAACTTGTCTTCTTCTAAGCTGAAAGGTGAACTGTGTTTCACAGGCAGATGTGCAAAGCAACTGAGCCATGACCAAAGGAGAAATTAAGTTCAGATATGAATTCAAACCTGCTCATTTCACTGCAGCCACAAAACTGTGTTCATGTTTTAAATTGCAAAAAGAAAGAAGCAAATGAAGTAATTAAAAGAAATTTATTCTTGCAATAAGAAACAGACTTCTAAGATTCACTGAAATGATCTCTGCCTACTGCCTGTGACATACTATGGATACTGACACTGCTATTACTATTGATTTTTTCCCGTGGAAAAGGGAACAGAACACGAGTCCTGAAACAGCACAAACACAACATTCAGTGCAAAACTGACATGGGACAGAGCCTAATGGATGGTCAGACAAATCCCTCTTATGTCACACAACACGTGCTGCTCATTCCCCAGAGCAGAGAATCACTTTTTAATTTTCTCTAGATTTACCCTGAGACCTTCTCTGAGCAAAGCAGCAGCCAGAGCTGAGCTGGTGTTCGCTGATCCTGATTTTCCACAGCCTGTTTACCAGCTCCCTGACATAATTCAGCTCGAATTTCCCTTCTTTCCCAGATCATCAGCTTTTCCTGACTGACCCTCCTGCATTCAGGGTGACAAACCCCATCAGCTGCAAGCCCCCCAAAGCCCACCTGAAATGGACTCCCTGCCTTCACCCATTCATGCATTTTCTGCCTTGTCAATATGCACATTTCACCACGTCCATCCCATCACCTCATTCCTGGCTTTCTTCAGTCATCCAGTACAATTCTGCACGTGCTTTTCTGCCCAAGGCATCAACTGTCAACACTTGGTACATATTTTAAACTGAGAAAACAACCATGAAATTTGATTTTTTTTAAAGAGAGTTTGAAAATATCCCCCTGGGTTGAAAGAGACAGACAGGACTCTATGGACAAGAAAAAAAAATGAAAATGGGGGGGGGTGATCATAAATTATGGAAGCTGCATGCCAGCAGCAAAGATGAAAATAACCAAGTTTCAAGGCTTGTTTTCACATGGGCTGCAGGACAGCAACAGAAAAAGTGCACAATCATGGCAAAGCTGCCCCAGAGCAGAGGATCTCTATAATAAAAATAAAATAAATAAAATTTAAAATATTGAAATACAAGAAAGAGCAAGAAAGAAGGAGAGCTGAGGCACCTGTGATTTGCCAACTATGAGATGGAGATGATTTCAAACTCCTGTGGAACAGCTCAAATGTTTGTGTGTTACTTTATTTCTTTCATTCTATTCATTTCCCATCCCTCCCTCTGCACAGCAGCACATCTTTAGCTACAGGTAGTCAACATTATCATTTAAATACCAAAGAGAAATCAAAGTAAAAAGAAAAGGTGAATTATTTCAGTAAAAACACTGACATTTTGGGTCTTACTGCTATCAAACAAAATCTTCCTGAAAACAGCAGCATTTCCCCATCAAATTCTTGCTTTGGCAATCCCCTAATAAATGTTTCCAGGTGGTACAAATCTCACACTTGTAGAGAAGTTCTTATAGAGGGTCTAAGCCTTGATTCAGCTAAGTCTTGGCCTGGCATTGAATGAGCTGTGTAAAAAAGTTTAAGTGGAACAAAAAAATTGGATTTCTCTGGTTTTTCCCTTAAAAATCTCTTTTTTTGGTGGAAAAGAAGACATTTGTGTGAGAGGAGGAACTGACTCTGCTGGACTGGAGCTCACTCTGGGGAGAAGAGGCCAAGCCATGGTCATTTGCCAGTGTGGTCCCTCCTCCAGGGGCAGGTGAAGGAATTGGCACCTCTGCAGCAGAACAAAACTCTGCAAGCTGTGACTCCTGGAGAGCGGCAGCCAAAGGGGCTCCTGGCAGAGGGCTGGGCAGCCTTGCTTCGCACACGGCCTCTGGGCCCCCTTTCCCCTGTGGGCTGGCTGCTGTCCACAGAGGGGCTGGGATTGGAGGATGTGTGGGGAAAACCAGCACCCCACAGGCTGCCTGGAAACGCAGCCAGACAGGAGAATCCAGGCTCCTGCTCTTACCCTCCCCTTCACACTGCCCAAGTGTAATTTACCTGCACCTAAAACAGACAACAGGACTGGAGGGAGCCCACAAAGAGCTCAGGAGGTCACTGCTGCACCCTCCACAACAGGCACAGCAGCACCAGCTGCTTAAAAAAATAGAGGTTGTTCCAGTTTGTAGCTCCTCCATAGGGTAAATCGTTTTGTCATTTCTGTCCACTTTCACAGTAGTCTCTCTTTGCATCCTCCTGCCTACAACAAATGCAATAATTTTCCAGAATAATCAAGCACAATGGAGAAAAGAAGGCATTTGCATGGCTGAACCACAACAAAGAGAAAGGAAATGCATGTCCTGTATCACAGATGTTTGATGAAGAGAAAGATCCAAAACCAGCAGAAAAAATCCTCATTAAGTGCACTTGCAGCTCATACCTGAAACTGAGTGAATTTTATGGAGGTATCCAAAAAATAAAAATACCCCATCTCCAGAGCCTCATTTCAGAAACAAGCCAGCACAGAGAAGTCTCATTCCTGCCCTGCAAGATTTATGGACCATGGGCAGAGAATCCCTCCATGAGTACATGAAACCCCAAACTAAAATAAACATCAGCCATTAAACCAAGGATTAAATGCTTGGTGGATTCTTTATTTGAACAAACTGATGTTACAAATTTTGTGGTGCAGATGTCAAGTGTTAGTGTGAAGGCATAAGGGGCCATAAACCACGGGCAGGAGCTGTCAGAGGAGTTTACATTGCAGGGAGCACACAGCACATGATTTTAGGAGTCAGGTGTTCCCTGCTTAAGAGGTCAGAGAATTTAGTATGAAATATGAGCTGAAACAGTCAATCCACAACACAGCATGTACATGCTGCAGGTGACTGGGCACAGGGGACATTACTCTTTGGGCACTCACTCTGACAGTGTGTTATACAGTCTATTGGACTAAAAAATCCACAAAATTCAGGACTGTGAGGTGAAGGGAGAAGGGTGAAACAGCCCCAGATCCTCAGCAAAAAATGGCTGTGACACTGCACAAGTTCATTAGGTGACTTTCATTTACCCTTGCCTGCTCACCGCCTTCCAAGCCACATGATCACACCACGTCCTGCAGGCTTGGAAGTCTCCCTCAGAATGGGAAGCAGCAGAGTCCCCACTGTGATCAGAAGCACAACAAGGCTCTTCTGAGGCCTCTGTAGAAAACTCCTGACGTTCAGTGCTTTTTATGGCAACTCAACAGATGTGCAATTCCAGAGCAACCGCCCCAAATGACCTTTTCCTATTACACACCAAAAGCACTGTCTAGCACTGTCTGGCTTTTGGCAGATTCTTGCTGTAAGTGCAGAGTCCTTTCCTGTTCCTCCTACCTCCCTTCCAACTGTATTTCCCAGACTCATCTAAAAGCAACATCTTCTCCTACAGCCTTCCACTATTTTTCCTGCCTAATCTTTCCCTTTGTAATTTTAGCTACCTCATTCTTGTCAAACCCACTGACGGTTTCTGGATGCTGTTCAACAAAAGCCACAAATAAAAGTTAAACTGCAGAATCCTTTCTGCAAGGCCAGATTTCTCCTTAGAAGCTCTTTTCTATTGCTGCCTTTAAAACCCTCTCCAGCTCTTCCTCAGGAGCCCTTTGCTCCCTTCCCTGCTCCCATGACCCCTTTAACATCTCCCCATACCCTTGATGGAGGGCAAGCTCTGTTTTACCATGTCCTGTTATTTCAGCAGCATAAAAAAGAAGAGAGGGCATCCAAGTGGGGCAAACAGCTAAAATTAATTCTCCCTAAGCCCCAGGAGTTTCCAGAGAACCTCTGACTGGTACTCACATTAGGCAGGTTTTATTAGCTTCACCTAAAAGTAAAAATCATCACCTCTCCAAAGCAAAACAGAAAGAAAAGGGAGATCCTGCACACAAACCAAGCCTAGAAATTACAGAAAGTAAGTCCTTGAGGTGTATTCTTACCACTCAATCTAAAACCCTGTGTCACTGCTGAATTATCAGAGGGACAGGATGACACCAAATGTCCCTGGTAGCAGCAGCAGGAGAGAAGCACCTCTCAAAAAGTGATTAATCCCATCCTCTGCCAGGATACAGCACAAGAATTATCTCTGTGCCCTGGCCTGTTGTATCCCTGGAATTTCAGATTTACCACAGCCAGCTGATGCCAGTGGATTGCCTGAAGTTCAGGAATTACAAGTGGTTCCTTATTGAAAGAACAGACTGAGAGTTGTCCTCTCATTTTTAATGCTCTGTCCTACAAAACTGCATCTCCAATTTCTCTCTAACTGGAATGGCAAAATCAGGCATCAACTGCTAGCAAAAATTATTCAAAGCAGAAAGATCCATTATTCCCTAATTCACCTTCCAAAAATGGCCTTGTTTTGCTTTGGGGTTTTTTTGTTTATTTTTTTTCTCCCAAACAGTCACTTTCATACCAAATCACAAGTTCATGACTATTTCTCTGGCAAAGCAGCAAACAAGAACTTGAGACAGAAGTCATGAACTCTGAGCTGCATCTCAAAACACCACAGATTTTGCTGCAAGGATTGTTATCCAAGCTAGTCTGTGGCTTGGACACATCAGTTAAAACCTTATTCTTCTGCAAAACAAACTCAGTCATCAACTCAACTCATCAGGGCTTTGTTTTAGTGGCAGGTCAGGATAAGCACTGTGATCTCTG